GGACCTGTGGTGCTGACCGTCCCCTTGCCTCCCCTCTCCCCAGCAGCGGGCGGCGGAGACCTGTGGTGCTGACCCTCCCCTCCCCTCTCTCCAGCAGCGGGCGGCGGGGACCTGCTGGCCGGCTCGTCTCGCTCGACGACGCCTTCGCGCCGCTCTCCGACGATGGACCAGGGGGTGCAGACCCAGCAGGACCGGCAGCACCGGCACCGTGACGGGTCAGTGCGACTGGGGTGTCACCAAACCGGCAGCGAGACTGGTCTGATCACTGGGTGCCCTCAGGACGGCTGTAGCCTTAGATGGGTCGTCGTCTGTGAGCTGGTCGTGAGATTATGCGTTTCTTTTTTTGTGCAGTTAAGGTTCAGGCTTACGATTGGCTGGCAACTTCATTCCTCAAGTGTCTGCATTCATTAGTTTCTGTATTGTCTCAGCGTTTCCGCAACAAATTAATACCGCTGAGCCGAGTGTAGCCCCAATTACCGTGCTCTATCCCCGCGCCTTACAGCCAGCAGCGCGGCGGGTACCACAACAACTACCAGCGGGGCGGCGCCGCCGGCGGCGGCGGGTACCGCTCGCAGCGCGGCGGGCGGCGCGGCGGCCGCGGACAGAGCCGGGGCACCTTCCAGGTCAGCGCGCGACCCATCAAGTTCGACGGCGACTTCGACTTCGAGGAGGCCAACAAGAAGTTCGAGGAGCTGGCCGCCCAGCTGGCCAAAACCAAAATCAGTGAGTGGCCGGGGGAGGGAGGGAGTACGGATTGGCCGGGGGAGGGAGGGAGTACGGATTGGCCGGGGGAGGGAGGGAGTACGGATTGGCCGGGGGAGGGAGGGAGTACGGATTGGCCGGGGGAGGGAGGGAGTATGGATTGGCCGGGGGAGGGAGGGAGGGAGGGAGTACGGATTGGCGGGGGGAGGGAGGGAGTACGGATTGGCGGGGGGAGGGAGGGAGTTTGGATTGGCCGGGGGAGGGAGGGAGGGAGGGAGTACGGATTGGCGGGGGGAGGGAGGGAGTATGGATTGGCGGGGGGAGGGAGGGAGTATGGATTGGCGGGGGAGGGAGGGAGTATGGATTGGCGGGGGGAGGGAGGGAGTACGGATTGGCGGGGGGAGGGAGGGAGTACGGATTGGCCGGGGGAGGGAGGGAGTACGGATTGACCGGGGGAGGGAGGGAGGGAGTACGGATTGGCGGGGGGAGGGAGGGAGTATGGATTGGCCGGGGGAGGGAGGGAGTATGGATTGGCCGGGGGAGGGAGGGAGTACGGATTGGCCGGGGGAGGGAGGGAGTACGGATTGGCCGGGGGAGGGAGGGAGTATGGATTGGCCGGGGGAGGGAGGGAGTATGGATTGGCGGGGGGAGGGAGGGAGTATGGATTGGCGGGGGGAGGGAGGGAGTATGGATTGGCGGGGGGAGGGAGGGAGTATGGATTGGCGGGGGGAGGGAGGGAGTATGGATTGGCGGGGGGAGGGAGGGAGTACGGATTGGCCGGGGGAGGGAGGGAGGGAGTATGGATTGGCGGGGGGAGGGAGGGAGTACGGATTGGCCGGGGGAGTGAGTGAGTACGGATTGGCCGGGAGAGGGATTGACGTGAGCTTTGGTGGAACGGGTTGCCCGGGCTGTGTTTGAACTGAAGTACGAATTATTTTCTCGTAATTGTTTCTCGCCGACAATTTGGAGTCTCTTGTCTTGCACATTGTCTCGAAAAACGTTTCATGCTAGGACAGCTCATAGTTGACTGTGGTAACGTGGTGCCCCAGGATGCGTGGATTGTTTCGCAATGGTCGCGACTCTGTGAGCCGAGGTGATTATCAGTTGGGAGTTTTGTTTTGGTGGTGGTTGCTAGTTTCGAAATTGGTCCACCCGTACTGTTAACCCGTTGTGATAGGCGAGTCGGGCGCCAGAGGTTATTTTTCTTTTCGCCATTGTTGCTGATTGTTAATTAAAGTGTTTGATCAACAAGAGGACGTAGGTAAATGACTTAGAATTCGTTCACTGATGACGTGTGCTGTAACGTTGTACTGAGCTGCTAGTATTTGGTGTGTCCGCGGATCACTAGTCATGTAGTGTGCTGGTGGGTCCGCTGTCCGGCCTGTGTCCGCCGTCCCTGGTGCCTGTTTTGGCTGTTATCGCTGCCCTACGGGCTGCAATCAGCTGCTCTCTTCAACTGTTCCGTGCCCGCTGTCCTCACTGTCCCGTGTCCTTTGTCATCTGCAACCGTCTACCTGCGTCCGCTATGTCCTTAAACCGTCCGGTGCACGGCTGTCCACATGGTCTGGCTGACTACTCACAGCGTGTGTCCGCTGTGTCCTCCCACCATCCACCCGTGCCCTGCCTAACCGCCCCCGCTGCCGCCCACAGCGCCGGCCGGCGGTGAGGAGGAGAACGGCGAGGCCGCCGGCGGAGACGAGTCGGCCGAGGAAGGCGAGCTGCACGAGACATCCACAGAGGAGCCGCCCGTCTTCTACAACAAGACCAAGTCGTTCTTCGACAACATCAGCTGCGACGCCATCGAGAAGGCCCGGGAGTGAGTGGACCGGCGGGGACTGTGGGGAGGAGGGACGGCGGACGCACCCGGTGTCCCCAGGCGGTTTGGTTCGGCTGGGTACGTCGTGGTTTACCTTTATGCTTAGTTTCTGTGATTAAACTTTTCTGGATAGAACAGAATCGTCACGCTGCCATAATGTGGCTGATTTGCGTAATTGCTTTTGTGGGCAATCTACCTGAAATAGGTAACTGGAAGCGTATGGTAGGTGCTGGATCCTGGGACACGGGGCGTCCGCCGTTTCGCGGGTACCGCCTCAGTATGATGTTTGACATCCTTGCACGCTAACGCGGCGGCTCCCCGTCCGCCGGCCGCGTCTGACCGGCCGGCGGTGGACGGGTCGAGCCCCGCCTGTCGACAACCGGGCCACCCGTCTGTGGAGGCGGGCGCTGACTCCCGTGCGGGTCTGTACCGCCCCCCTGGCGCCCCGGCCGCCGCTGACCGCCGCCCCCGCCCCCGCCCCCGCCCGCAGCAACCGGCAGCGCCGGCAGGACTGGCAGAAGGAGCGCAAACAGAACCTGGAGACGTTCGGCGTGGAGGGCACGCGGCGTCCGTACCGGCGCGGCGGCTACGGCCGCGGCTACTACAACAACCGGGGAGGACCCGGCGGCGGCGGAGGGTACTACAATAACCGGGGCGGCGGCGGCTACTACAACAACCGCGGCGGGGGCGGATACTACAACAACCGCGGCGGCTACCGGGGCTACTACAACAATTACAACAGGGGGTGAGTGGACATCCGGGGGACTACCGGGGCTACTACAACTACAACAGGGGGTGAGTCAGGACCGGGCGCCACTATAACCAGGGAGTGTTAGGTCAGATGTTCGTGTGAATCCAAACTGGAGAAGAGCTGGCACACTGAAATGAAAAAAGTAAATCAAAATCGGTAAATCGGTAAATCAAAATTTGGGTCGCTGACAAATTTATGATCATTTTTATGCGTGAAGTGGAGCTAACTGAGAGTCATTTAAGCGTGTAAGCATAGTTAGCTGTCTGAATTAATTGCGAGGTACCGTTCGGTGAATGCCGTTAGCTTGACTAGGCCTCTGGCAGTTGCTACATGTGGCCCGAAAGCCTGATAGCACGCGGTGTCTACCTGTGAATGCAGTGCACCTCAGTCGCATCTGTTCCCGTTGCAGGTACGGCGGCGGCGGCGGCCGGCGGGGCGGGGGTGACGGCCAGTTCCAGCCGCGGGGCGGCCGCTCCAACCAGGAGGGCCGGTCGGCGGCCGCCGAGGCTGCCGACAACTAAATGGCCGCCTCGCGCCGCCTACAGTGCAAAACGGACCGTGACAGGCGCTAGATGACGGCGCGGCGCGATTTACAGTGACGCGATTCGGCGCGGTCGGGCCGCGGTTCTGCGCGGCTCGGCGGCCACTCGGCAGTGAGCGCGGCCGCTATTTGTGTTTTTCCCTGGACTCTGGTGGACTACATTGCGGGTGTGTCTGTGTGAGCGGACATGATGCGGCCAGTGGCGGGCGGAGGTTGCCGCCCGGAGGCGGGCTCGGACGTAACTGCAGAACTGTGACAGAAGGAACACTATGGCGCGGCAACGATCGTATAGTGACGGCACGGGGTGGCGGGCGGCGACGGACAGTGAACGGAGGTGGGGGCCACGACCGGGAGGTGAGACCGGGACCGGAGACGGCGCGGCTGATCTCGCCGAGAGGGGACGCCGGGACTGCAGCGGCCAGCGCCGCGCGGACGGACAGACGGCTACATTGGAACCAGTCGGCCCAGCGGCGGCGGCGGCCGGCCGGCCGGCGTGTAGGGGATTCCGGCCGACTCGGCCGCCGCTGCCCTCCAAAATACTCTGTGCTGTATTATGAGTTTCGATGAGTCTATTCGATGGAGAAGCTATTGGGTCTCGGGCAGCCGGCTATATTTTGTACCCCCTCTTTTTGAATAAACCAGCACAGAAGTCGGTCAGATTTTTTAGTGGTGAGCTAGGTTTTATCCATCAGTTTCTGGGTTTCATTTTCACTTTTCCAGCAACACACGACACTTTTCGACTTAATGCACATTCCATTTAATTCGTCCATAGGATGCTGAATTGCGAAACGAAACGACGAAACTGCGAACTGTACCAATGCAGACCGGAGCACAGTATGCGTGTTGTGATTCATGCCAGTTGCTGCCGTAGACTGGACTGGGACATGAAGCACCACTTCTGTAGCCAGTGACCACGCTGCTCTGATGTTTTTCGCGATGAATCGCTGTCTATGGGGGCTCAAATGATTGGTATATGCGAATTCAACGGCGGGACAGGCGAAGACAAAACTAGAACGGCCCGGTCCCCGGTGGGTCACTCAGCTAAGATGTTTCTAATCTGATCCTTCAGCTGGTGACGTCGATGAGCATAGGCGTTGACCTAAGCATTTCTTCACTCGTCATGTCGCCCAGTTTGTGCCCATAATTTCTTTTCTTTAATTTCTTTTCTCAATCGGAATTAAAGATCCGGCTATCAGTATTTCAATCTTATTTTTCAATTACTTTTACAAAGGTGGGTATGCTGAGCGATGAACGAACATACGCAAGTTTGTGATATGCACTATGCATGTTTTCCAGTTATCGGTGATCAGACGAGGACATCACCAATACCACCTGTTTTATGGATCACTCCTGTAAACATCGGCGACCTACTTACCGTGCCGACACCACGACGTCCTACAGACGCCAGCAGTCGGCACTCAATCATCGGAACGCGTCCACCAGTCCGTCCGGTACCGGCATACTACACGACTTCCGGAAGCACGGTTTGAAGTCGGACTCCCTCTCCCCGGGCTCACAGCGCGGGCCCATCACGCAGTGTCGGTAGCGGGCCTTCTGTCCGGGCCCGCAGGTGACTGAGCACGGCCCCCAGCGGCCCCAGGGGCCCCACGTCTCCCGCTGACCGGTATCTTCAAACACCAGTGCTGCCCTCTCGGTGACCTCCAGCGGGTCCTCCTCTCCGGAGGTCACCAGCACCGGCAGCAGCGGGCTCTGCTCCGACTCCAGCACGTCCTCCGGATCGAGATCCATCAGATCGGGCAGCTGGGGCGCGATCCGGATGTCGTCCAGCACGCGGCGGGTGCCCGGAGCGCTGCGCCGCCGCCGCGCCGGAGCCGGAGCCGGAGCCGGAGCCGGAGCCGGGAGCGGCCGTCTGCCGTAGGTGGCGGCACTGGGCTGCCCAGCGGCGCCGCTGGTCTCTGAGCCGCCGCCGCGCTGCGGTCGCCGACTGATGTCGAGGCCGACGCCATCTACCTCGGCCGTGGAGAGCTGCTCGTCCAGGCCGGCAGAGGGCAGCTCGGTCTCCGGCGCGCTGCGCTTTCGGAGAGAGGCGGACATGACGGCGACTCCGGCCAGGTCAACGTCAATCGGCTCCCGGAGCTCCTTTTTGATGGACAGATGTCTCTTGCCGCCCGGCTGGAAGCTGTTGATCAGCTCCTGGGAGTACCTCTCTCTGCCCATGAAGTCGGTAAACCGCGACATATCGGGACTCCGAGCCTCCCGGCGGCGCCGGTTCTTCAAAATCGACTTGTCCTCGACGATATTGCTCAGTCCTTTACGGAACGTTATCGGCCCCACCGTTGCGACTCCGTCGTCGACGAGTTGTCTGACGGCGGACAGTGTGCCCTCGTCGCCCTCGGCCGCCTCTCCGTACACCACCATAGCTCTGAGGAGAGTCTGCAGGCGCTGCTCCTCCGAGACGGCTGGCGGGCTCGGGGTGGGCGGCGGGACCGTGGAGGGCACCTCGTCGGCGCCCTGCTCCTCCGGCGGCTCCTCGGCCAGCACTCTGTTCAGCGCCGGCAGATCGGGACGCAGGTGGTGCAGGAAGTAGAACGGGTCGTCGGCCGACCGCGGCGACCGCTTGGCCGAGCGATGGTCGCCCTTCTTGCCTCCCTTATTCCCGGCCTTGTCTCCGTCCTTTTTCTGATTGGGCGCCATGCCGGCTGGGTCGGGTGCCGGCGGTCGTTTGGTGCTGGTTCGGTGCGGTTTGGGCCCATCTGGCACCTTTTCGATAGTCAGTTTCAGCTGGCCCTGCTTGGAGTCGACGGACTTCACGGGCACCGACTTGTGGGAGATGATCTCGGCTTTTGACTTCCCCGGCCCAGCGATGAACCGTCGCACACTTATGTCCAAGGCATTGACATCGTCTGTCAAGAGAATAAAAAAGTTCAGGCGTAACAACTGACAAAATGCGACACGAACCGCACAAGTCACATTGCATTAATCGTAAGAAATTGTTAGCATTATATGAGCTCTTGAAAATCCTAGTGAGATAGTCCCTCACAGCAGTTCACTACGCATCGAACTCCTCCGGAAAAAACGTCACCTTTATCGATATCGAGCCTCCCTTACGACACAAATGCAAGAGATTTTCTGTAAAGACATGTGATTTAACACAGGCCATGTCGTTGTAAATCACCGTGACGACTTACCTTCAGTGGGGTGGCTAGTGTAGTTGGAGAGGAACTCGGCCACCTGCCAGATGGCGGCATCGTCCAGATGGTGCTCCGCAGTGTTCAGCAGGCGCACGATGTTCTTGGAGCGGTGCTTCGCTGGTGATTGGTGCGACTCAGACACCAGCACCAGAAGCAGCATCAGCCGGACGGCACCAGGCACCAGGGTCACCAGCATAGGAGAGTGCCGGGCGTCCCAATACCACATGGGACTACCCCATGACACGCCAGTCACATTAGTGCTTCCTCTGTGTATATGTTATGTTCACCGACTTAATTATTGACTCGAAGCGTAAATTATTGATAAAATGTATTTGAATTCCACCCAAATACGATCCAGTGAGATTACGGTTCACATTCGTTTGCACTCAAACACCAATAAATGGCGCACTCCAGCCGCCTGCTCCAGCCGCACTTTTCAATTCTCATTCATTTCAGAAATGTGCTTGTCAAATGGGTGCATTCGAGCTTTGCATACCTCCCGTAAAATATAACAATTTATCTGAAGAAGTCGAAGGTATCTTCAGGTATCGTAAGTAGGAAAGGTGCAAAATGGTGCAGCCTGCAGCCTGTGCACTCAGAATACGAATTTATGTGGATATTTATCATTCTATATATCCCATTTTAATGTAGCAATGAATAATGATTGCATAACTGCAAACTCCCTTACATATGCTGTCATTATCGCACTTTTTCTCTTTTTAATTGACAAAATGCCAATTTGCACCGAAATGATTCCTTTTTAGAACATGCCAAGACACCCAACGGCAGTACGATTAAGGCGAATAAGAACTGTGGCCAGCTGAATAAAAATTCGGCCGTCTAAATATGCTTTAAGTTGTCGGCAATTTCTTTAGATCGCTAATGTTTAATTTGCAACGAGAGTCGCATCCCAGGCTCTTCAAAAATAGACGTAACGTAACATTTTCCCACCACCAAGCTTTCTGTACCACTCGTTATCCAGGTTAAAAGTACATTAAATGTCCCGATCGATGGTTGGCAAACGCAAGCCAATTAATATGAAGAATAAGTTTAGTATCAAACGACTAGATATCCATTATGAAACAGCACATAAGGGTGGACGTTTTTCGTCACTTGACTTTTTCAAGCGCCAATTGGATTTCCGAAAGGGTGCTTGAAAAAGTAAGTGAAGAAACGTGTCTACCCTAAGCTGCTATAGTAACCGTTTCATAATATCAAGAACTAGGCTGAAACGATATCCCTTAAGTTTATTCCGCTTTGTTATGCCTAAGCACCTGCACAAATACAGCATGTGCGGCTACTTAAAATTTCCGGAGCATCCCGTGCAATGCACCATGGACCAGCCGCCATGGGAGGCTGTCGGACACAGCTCCGTACCTATCGCGCCGTCTCGGCCGGGCTGGGTGGTCCTTTGTGCGGGGTCAGTGATAACTCTCCTCTCCAGTCTCTGCTCCATTACAAGGGACGCTCCGCAGGCCGACCGTTAAATCGACCATTTCTCCGCACCTTTGTGGGCGCGCAGATAAAATTTAATCCCGATAAAACGAGCCGACCACAGGACCAACACAGGCGCGATTTCGGGGTGGCGACCTCCTCATGAGCCGAAAAAGCACGCGGAAGTGGCGATATTTCACATGGTTGAGCCGCGCCCGTATTTGGGGCATCACGTTCTGGGTTGGGACTGCGGAGCACAAGAAGCCAGCTTCTTAATGGGCGGATATGCGCGGGCGCTTTTTGCAACTGCAGGTCACCTTAGCGGTCCCACTCGCAGGATTGGCCGGGTCGAGGAACCTTGGGAACATTAGTCACTGCTCGGCTGGCGATGGCACGGTCTCTGTCCGTCTCTCCGTGTGGTATTCGCACCTTTATAGCTCGTGAAACGTTATGTTATAAATAACAGTTTAAAGCGGATTCGGTTTTTTTTTTTAATATTTGGGCAAAATTCGATTCTTCTTGCGACTTTAACCCAGAACAGAAACGGATGAAGCGCAGCCTCAGCCCTTTGGCTTTCTTATATATTCAGAGGGCCAGGTCGGACTTATCTGGGGCATTCCACGATAGATCGTACCAGGCCCGTCACCCTCATCTCTCAGATTTTAATGAAAATCGGTCCTAGGGGTAATCATAGGCCCCAAAGACGCCTGGCAAAATATCAGACTTCTCAGATCAAAACTTTTTGAGTTATATTGCATTACATTTTTTAACTTCGGTACCTATGTAACGGTGAGTTTGATGGCCTATAACTCAAGAACGGGTTAAGCAACCAACAAAAAGTAAACAACACTAAGCTTGCGATGAATCAAAAATTAATATTAGGTACTATTTAAAAATTCCAAAGAAAAAATTTCATTGTTGAGCAAAAACCTTAATCTTTTTTCATTTGCCTATAATGACTTTTGGGACCAAAATCTTTCACATTTTTATTTTTTCAAAATAATCTTCATGTCATTGCAAATCGACATGCAAAAAAAATAGAAAGGTGTTCTTTCTATAAGTTCCTCATTTTCCCGCAAACAAAATGGGTTTCGGAGGGGTTGATACGACCCCAGCACGCCGTTTCGCCTCTAATAGAGCTAGAGCCTCGCCGAAAAAACGAGCGTGTGTGCCGTTACAAGTCGCAGCGATTGGTACCCGATTTTAAGGTCTCAGGTTAACCGGTGGCGTCTGAGGTCAGGTCACGTGACTGAAGTTACGGCTTCGGTTTTTGGTAAATAACTTCGCAAAAAATGGCCGCAGAGCCGCGATTTTGGCATCATTGTGTTCGCCTAGCTGAGGTGCATCGAATGGTATACTTTTTGCTAGGGTGAGGTCAACTTAAGTAGTTGACCTCGGTTCAAGGTCAGGTCAGAGCCCCTCAAGTCACGAAGCTGGGCAAAGGGTATCATATGGCATATCATTCGATTCGGAAGGTCTTCCCGAGTCCATTGGTGGCTTTCCCGACTCTCTAGCTCCATTTGATCAGGAGTTATTGACGAAAAACTCGTACGACCCTAGTGACGTCATAAATGACGTCACGCAAGGTTAACAATGCAAAAGTAAAGCATTGGACTTTGCAAGGAGTGCATGAAATCACGATACCATGTACGTGGGATAGTTTTAGATCATTCTCGGCGCCAAAATAACAGTTTTTATATTTCCCCATTGATTTATAACAGTGATGTCACGTGACCGACCTGACCTCCAGTAACCTTGAAAAATTCCCAGATACACAAGTTGTGAGACCTCTGGAGGACACCATGTATGCGTCCTGTAACTTTCATCTCGGACTGCTATGGTCATTGGCGTCCAAAACAATGTCAGAACCAAACAGCCTTTTTCACCCTCGCGCTTATAGGAAAGAGGGTTGAATGAACCCTCTTTTCACTTTTTTCAGATGACTCAGACTTGAATTGAAGTTTCAGTAACCCGTGATGTCACTAGGCAGCTTTACCACGCCATTTGTAAGCTCCCCTCCCGAAATCACTATTCGAAACCGTTATCGTGACGTAAAATAAATACATTTATAGAAAGAACACCTGTCTAATTTTTGCATACTTCTTAACAATGAGCCAAATATTTTTTTAAAGAAATAAAAATTCAAAGAAATTTGGTCCCAAAGTCCAAAAAATAGAAATGAAAGAAAACTCGATATGTCATTTATCAAAAATAGCATATTTTTCAAAATTTCAAAATACATATTAATCTCTGTTTCATTGCAAGTTCAATGTTATATAAAATTTGGCATTTGAATAATCCGTCTTAGAGTTACAGCCCGCCAAACTTAGCGCTGCAAAGCAAGATCCAAAAAATGTTATACACCATAACTCAAAAAATACTTATCTGATAAGCCTGAAATTGTTACAGGTGGATTCAGAGCCCCTGGTTACCCCTGAGACCAATTCTCGTCAAATTCCGAGAGATGAGGGTGTCAAATTGGAAAAAAGTGGTACGATCTATCGTGGAATGCCCCATCTTCCTCCTTACTTACGTTTTACTTCCTCATCTTATTATAAAAAAAAACATTCCACAACAGCATGGCGCAGCAACTCTGGTAAGTTAGCGGCCCTTGCCGACTGTCCGGTCCACAGCGCTGAGCCGTGCGGCGCGCAGTGCAGCGCTGCGCTGGTTACCTGCTGCCCCTGCGGGTTAGGCGACCCGCAGTACACCGCTCCGGCGAGTCGAGTCGACTGGCCGGCGAGCCGAGTCGGCCTGGGCCGCAGTGTGGGAGGCAGACATGCGCACGGATCCGAGAAAATGGATCTGGGATCCGGTCCCTTGAATCTTGATCTTAAATCTGATATGATCATAGATCCAACTCTCTAATATGTGGCGAGATCCACAGAGATCATAGGTCCGAACCTGTTCTTTGCCGAGAGATCCGGTGAGATCATAGATCCTTACTCATTTTTTTCGATATTGAAATATTCTATAATCACTTGTTTCAACTTTCAATGCCCAATGATTCTGTTTCAGAGATATTATGTGATTATACGAGGGACAATGCAAAAATCTGGTGGCAGTTGACATCAAACCGCATGGAAACCTGGTTTCACAGGTTGAATATGGTGGGATCCACTCGGATCATAGATCCCTCTTCTTGGCTCATCATTAGATCCTATTACTATCATAGATCCAAGATATATCTTTTTCACGTAGGATCCAGTGGGATCATAGATCCTAACTTATCGTTTGCTGTTCACCATTGTTGTTCATTGTTTGTTCACCATTGTTCACCATTCACTACAGTGTTCACCAAATAATTTTTCACCATTAAAATGCAAAACACTCCTACTTTTAAACGGTTTGTATTCCTCTTGCACATATTGTTTTTGGAAGTAGGTAGGTATTCAAAACACGTCTATTGCACACAACTGAAGATCGTTTGTGCAGCGCCGTAAGCGACACATTTAAAATGCGGTTGTAAAGGCAGATGCAAGCATGTTAAAAAGCTTTTTATGCGGTCAAGATTACTCATAGTTTGGGAAGGTTACTTATGTTTCGCTTTCACTGGATATAAAAAAAGGAATCACGTGTTATGTTGATGCAAACTTTGATCGCTTCTCCCTTAAAAATTTGAAATGACGATGAAATATCGATGCGTCATGAACAGCACGAAACCACCATTTTTGTTTGAGATGCAATGCAAATGCTGTACAGATGTAACCATATATTTCTTTAAATGCTTTCTGATACCTATAACGACATGCAGGAGCATGCCTTGCAGTGAGCGTTTTTTGCCGCGGCGGCCACCGGTTCGTTTTTTCCTTGTCTAGTAGTGCCGTTGCCGTTCGCCGCGCTCTCAGGGCGCGGGCCGTTTCTCCCAGCGGCTCCGTCGTTTCTCCCAGGCGCTCCGCCGTTTCTCCCAGGCGAGTCGGTGTCTGTTCGAGACGTCTCGCTGGTACGGCGGCGCAGCTGCCGCCTCCTCTCCGACTTCTCCCAGAGCCCCCCGAACTGCATACCGCGCCCCGAGCAAAAAATCGCAGGTGCCAATTGGAAGCCGGCGCCGGTATCTTGCGCCTTGGCAAAAACTGGCGCTACTGGCCGGCTGTGGCCTGTGATCCTCCAAGGCTGACGCGCGCCGCTGAGAGCACGGCTGCGGAAGTTCCCAGGCAGACGCCGTCCAGACGGGGACCGCGTCTCACCACAAGAAGGTAGCACCGCGCAAAAAAATTCAACTCGGCACCTGCCGCGCGCGACAATGGCCGGCGCTGTGCGAAGTGGGCGCCGCCGGTCGCGGCACAGGTTGGCGCGGCATTGTGCCCTGCACAAACACGTGGGAACACTGGGTCAGCGGCTCAGGGGCGGTGCCGGCGGGGCGGCGGCGGCCGGCGCCGGCGGTGTGTCGACCGGCCGCTCCTGGCGCCGCGCCTGCACCGAGCCCCGCGCGCCTCTCAGGGCTCTGTGTAGTCGGAATGTCGCCCCCAACTGCCGGGCTTTCTCTGATTCATCCTTTCCCACTGTGTGTGAATGTGGCGGCCGATTTTGAGGCATTCCGTCTGATTCCGGTCGACATCTGACTGCGGCACACAGCTGAGTGTGGGACAGCTCCGACGGGGTGCTGCACCCGCCGATCGGCAGTCACCGGGGGCCGCGCGGCCGTCATTATCACACTCATAGTTCGCAGGCCCTCAACGGCCAACGACGCCTATATCAGTCCGAACTTCCCACACCGGCAGCTGAAACCGACTGAAAATGAGGTCTCCTTTGGTGCGATTTTTGCATGCCACTGGCACTAAAATGAATGTGAACTGTGGAATTCGCCCAGTGTATTTCTAATCACAATGGGAAA